GGTTCAAAACCTGTGCTTCCTGCCCTCACTCGTTTTCCATCAGCGACAGGCACCAGCACTGTTTGTACTGCTTGGAGGAAGCCCACATTGCGTCTAGATGCAGTATCTGTCTCTCCTTTCCTGCCCATAATCAGGAGAACCAGACTCTCTGCCTCAGGAAACATTTTATTAGAGGCTGACATGGGATCGACATCAGATCCTGGGTGGGTAACTCCCTCCCGCCCCCGATACCTGGTACATCGGCCTGAACAGACAAAGAGTGCCACCCCTGGCCATGGAACCCCCATCAGACTCCGCCGGTACCAGTGCTAAGGACCCCATGCTCAGAATAGTCCCAGGTACTTACCTGAGAACAGGGCCGTACAGATGGGAGGGAGCCTTGCTTCCTTCCTCCCCCCCCCCCCACCGTTTTCCCCAAGGTGTAAGTAAATAAATACCAATGGTTAAAGTCTCAATTTTCCCCTCTATTCAAATAGTAGATGATGCCATTTTTAGCAATAGCTCTGTGAGACCATGCCCAGTTAGGTTATTTCTAAACAATGATTTGTTCATTCATTTTAAAACATTTTCTTATCTAGTAAATAATTACAGTACCACCAATTACTGCAGTTTTTCCTTCAACTCTAAACTTTCATAGCTCTTGTGAATTCAGTCTGCACCAATGCTTAAATCATATACTGGAAACCTTACATCTAGGGCCAGTATGGAACACTAGAACTATGAGAATTCGCTTCTCTAAAAAGTGACTTATCGCTCGCCTCTACCATATACACGGAGTTCTTAGAGGAAGCTAACATTTTGAACCCTAGATAGGTTGTAAAAGTAAAAAATAACTGTCCAGAAGGATTCCATCACCTGAAAACGTATTCATGACTTTGAATATATCATCTCATTCACCCAAAATTGATGTGTATAGTTTTATTTAAACATCGTAGTGATGGCAGGCTTCTATAGAGCTCTAAACAACTCTACTAGCTGCCTAAAATTAAATTAAAAGTAACATAGGATCAAATCCTACAATCCTTATTCTGTTGTTTTGACAGAATTCCTTTAGAATTTGCCCAGGTAAGGACCTCAGATACAGATGACAACCTTTTGTAGATCATGATGTATAAATTGTACTCCATAACTTCTTTTTCTGGTTTCCTCTTATTTCATTCTGGTCCTGGAGTATTCTTCATTTAATTTCCATTTATACAAACCTTTACATGTTCTGTATCTTTGTTCCAAGCTTTATCATACATTAACTGCATATTTTGAGCAATACAGTAGATGTCAAAACAGCAGTGACTGACTATTCACCTACTCAAGAAGTTTGCACGGGAAGATCGTGCTTATCACAATATCTCAAGGGGAGATGCTGGGATCCAGGGTCCCGCTCCACATTTCCTGTCTAAAACTGAGTTTAGGTTTGATAGCTCTACTTCTTGTGGTTATCTTGTATACTAAGTTTTAAATCAATGAACTTTTAAATAACGGAGTTATAAACCCTTGAAAAATTAAGTTTCATTGGCCTGTTTCATCTACAGTGGTTTTAAGATTCTGAACTAGGGTATCATGAGGTAGCTTAATTTTGAAAACTAACTTTTATCTATTTCAATTGATGAGTACTAGAGACAGTGTTAGCAAGAGGATTGTAGTGAAGTCACATTTCCCTAATATCTTGATCCTGTAAACATTTAAATATGTGGCAATTATTCTGGTGAGTGGGTCCTCATGCATATAAATTGTTACAGGATTGGTACTTTAATTTGTGGTGCTTTCTTTCCAAAAAGGGGGAGATGTAGAAAGTTATCAAATATGGAAGTTAAACTAAATTTAACCTCAAAAGAAGTGCTCTCCATGCCACAACTCTGAAAGTTATACATGACAGACCTGACTTTTGACTGGGTATGAAAACTACTCTTTTACAATATAATTTCTCAAAACTTTACAATAGCCCTCTTTACATTCTTTATGGCCACTAAACATGTTAGTTTTTAGAGCCACAGTTCACTTCTAATCCTCAGTTATGTGAACAGAATGTCAAAAAACAGATTCAAAAGCAAATACAGTACACAGGAGGGAAGCATTCAGTTAGTTTCCTGATTAAAAAAAAGTTACCATAGTTTATATATACACTGTTTTTCACTTCTGTTTGTCAGGATAGCCAGCAAATAAGTTCATTAAGTTTTCTTTTCATTACCAAGTTCAAAAGAACCTCAGAAGTAACATCTGGTGGCAAGCACATTAAGAAGTTAGCATCAAACTACAGAAGTACTAATTTAATCATTTTATGGCAAAGTTAAACAAACATGGCATTTCTTCAAGCTGCTCTATTTTCAATAGAAATGCACAGGATGTAAAGCAGCATAGAATTGGGCTTAGTCAATCTTCCCAAAAAGCTTTTCACTAAATGAACTCCCCTTACCCTAAAACAAAAGGAAATATTTTACTGATAGACTTCAGGAAGCAATTTACAACTAGGGGACTCATCTTGAACCTTTTGAACTTGAATTACTGAAACAGTCTATAAACATCCAGTGGCATTTTATTTGTTCAGTGGCAGTCAAATATAGCTTTTAATTCTGTTATTTCTTTCCACGCTACCTGACATGCACACAAGTTTCTAGTGACAGTAATCTTTTGTGTACAAGTGTACCTATAAAGTAACTTTCTTTTAGAAAAAAGTAGAGTGCAACACCTGTATTGTCGACTAGGCAGATAATCACTGTCAGTCCTACTGTGTATTTGAGAAATAAAGAAACTTAATTCTGCAGTGACATACTTTCATTAAAGCTAAACTCCTCCTGTTTTGGATGAAATCACTGTTTCGTGGAATTTTTTTTTTACCTTGCTGGTACTTTTACTCTGTGTTTGTGTGTGTGTCTCTGTCAGGGTTTCTTCCCCCCTCTGAACTCTAGGGTACAGATGTGGGGACCCGCATGAAAGACCCCCTAAGCTTATTCTTACCAACTTACATTAAAAACTTTGCCTTGTCCTTGAACAGTATGCTGCCAACACCAAGCGTTTTAAACAAAGAACAGGGAAAGAGCCCACTTGGAGATGTCTTCCCCGAAAATATCCCCCCCAAGCCCTACACCCCTTTCCTGGCGAAGGCTTGATAATAATCCTTACCAATTTGTACAGGTGAACACAGACCCAAACCCTTGGATCTTAAGAACAATGAAAAATCAATCAGGTTCTTAAAAGAAGAATTTTAATTAAAGAAAAGGTAAAAGAATCACCTCTGTAAAATCAGGATGGAAAATACTTTACAGGGTATTCAGATTCAAAACCCAGAGGATTCCTTTTTGGGCAAAACCTTAAAGTTACAGAAAACAGGAATAAACCTCCCTCTTAACACAGGAAAAATTCACATAAAACGAAAGATGAACTAATTCGCCTTGGCTGGCTTACCTATACTGGTTGCAATATTGGAGACTTGGATTAGGATGGGTTGGAGGAGATGGATTTCTATCTGGCCTCTCTGTCCCAAGAGAGAATCACCATGTAAACAAAGAGCACAAACAAAAGCCTTCCTTCCCCCCCCAAGATTTGAAAGTATCTTGTCCCCTTATTGGTCCTTTGGGTCAGGTGCCAGACAGGTTAGCTGAGCTTCTTAACCCCTTTACAGGTAACAGGAGGATGCCTCTGGCCAGGAGGGATTTTATAGCACTGTATACAGAAAGGTGGTTACCCTTCCCTTTATATTTATGACAGTGCCTGACACCTTTACTTGGCAAAACAGGAAAAAAAGGTGGAAACATTTAATCACAGCTTCACCTAGTAGTCTCAGATAGCAAATTAGTTAATTTGCTTCAACTCCACCTCTGCTGAAATCATAAATCACCTCTCACTCTGGACTAAGTTCTTTCCTTTCAGTCTCTGTGGAGGTCAGCAAGGTTGAAGGGAGTGCAGAATTTGGCCCACTGGCTATTGCAGTTTTTCTATGACACCCTGTCCCAAAGTTCCAGTCTTAGCAGCATGTTGCTACTTTGTGTCTCAGAAGATAAGCACTCATCACCCCCACTCTAAAAGATCCACTTCAGTGATGAAGATGGAGGGTACATACAGGACCTTGGTTAAAATTCTGTCCTATTGAACAGCGCTGGGCAGATTTCCCTATCTCCAATAGTCATCCCCTTTCTGGACACTGGTAAATCAGGGTTGCATAGCATGTAAAGTTACTAGTTACACAACATGCTTCACTGAGTTATGAGAGCTGGGTCTAATATGAAGTTGTCCCCTATCCCCTCCTCTAATCCAAATCCTGGACTTTTGTTTTCGGAAATGCTTTGTGCATATCTGTGTAAGTGGGGATGAATATGCACTAAACTGATTTTATGGTTTGTCTATCACAGAATTGTAATGGGAAGCAAAATTTTAAATGGCAGAAGATGTGTGCCAAACCACCACCAGTGGCTGAAGTTTTGAAAAACTTAGATGAACATGCCCTAATAGGGAAGATTTAATAAGGCATTCTCTGGCATATAAAGGAAGTTGTGCTTCAAAAAAAGAACCCAGTCTCATACATGCGTGCACACGCACACACCCCATCCTAATCCCTATCCCACCCCCAAAGACAGTTCTACAACTCTAGACACCACACACACACACTCTAAGGTTTCAGTTCAACTCTGGTGTAACTCCATTGATTTTAGTAGAATAATGGCCTGTTTGCAGTACGTATGACCCTACCTACTTAATTTTTGGTACATTCTTACAGTAAGCCTTTTTGTTTATTCTTATTAGTGTTTTAACTTGGATTTTTATTGAAGCTATAATGTACAACTGTTTTAAAAGAATAAAACAGTTATTCTTAATCACTGTATGCACTACACTTTGTGGATGTAGTAAGTTACATTTCGTGCACTTGGCACCATGATTTTTCTGCCATTAATGCCTTTTCAACAGAATCTCATTTGCATCTGAGTATCAGCCATCTTTTCTGTAGTTTCAGATTACTTAGTAAGGAATTTGTTGTTCTACTTAAAGATAGTTTTCCAGTAGAACACAAGTATTTGAGAATAATTTAATATATTATCTTCATACAGTTCTGAGTACAATTGTCACTTTAATTTCATACTTAATGAAAATGTATACACAGTTCAGGAGACAAATAGCCTTAAGCCATTAATATTTTACATTTAGTGTTTAAAACAAGGCAAGCACCATGAAATACACATGTTGGAGCCTACTTTGTACCACACCCAAAAATCTTCAGTGACATGACTAAGACAGAACTTCTTTACTCCAATTACAGATAAGCAGATAATGTGACAAATCATGGCCTCAAACCATCCCGTTTATGCTTCCTTTCTCTTGATGATCAGAGGCCCAACGTTGTCCCCAGTTTCATCATTGTGCTTCGTGTGAGAACCGTCACATAATGGAAACTGAAAAAGAAAACCAGTACAATATAAAAGAATGGGTGCATTTAAAACTAAGTGAGAAGGAAATATAACCCTAAAGTTATGAAAATGGCTTCACACGGTAAAGATACATTTACAATGCAAGTGGTACCTCAAAATGTGTTATTACAAGAACTTAAATATTTGCTAGACATGTTTAAGTGTTCATTAATATTACCTGTGAGTGTAATGTACAAGAGCACTGTAACTAGGGAAAGAACCCAAACTCACAACGCACTTCGGCGCTCCAATCTCAGACTCTTGTCAAAAACAAGCAGCCTAGGCTGGCCTCAAACTTCCTTTTCACCTCCCCCACATCACTCCCTATTTCCTCGGGAGGGCTCTGGAGTGCAGTGAAGATTACTTAAGGTTTGCACAAGAGTCTCAGTTTCTGGATCCTCTCCTTTAAGAGGAAAGTAGGTCCTTGCATACACTAGAACAGGTTTGTCAGTATAGCTACCAGAAAACCCTGCTAATGGGGAAACAGCTTATACTGACAGAAGTTCTTTTGCCGTATAGCTAGTCAGTTCCCCAAATGAAGTAAGCCACACCATTTCCCTCTCCCCACCCCCAAAAAAGTCCTTTTGTTGGTATAACTGCATCTACACTAAGGTTTTTGCCACCATGGAGTGTTTGGTTGTTTAAGAGATCGCCGACATTGCCATACTGGCAACAGTTTCTAGTGTAGATCTGGTAAAAACCTTTAGAACCCCACTTCTGTAAAGAAGCGATCTTTAAAGTCTTTCTTGCTATATTGGGGAAATAAGACAGACACTCTTCACCTAAAGCAAAACCCACAGCAGAGCTCTATTAGCTAGGTGTAGCAACTTGGCTGTTTAATCATCTCTCAACAACTGTCTCCTGTGCCCGAGACAACATCCATCAAAGTCAATGGAAGTTAGGCCAGACCTTCTAACTGCTCCAGGATGGTTTGTAGAGGCTGTTAAACATAGCTGGTTATTGTCATTCTGCAACTATTTCCTTATCAGTGCTGCAAGTGGCAAATGGAAGTTTCCAAGTAAACAGAAAAGTTTTACAGAATACTAATATTCCTGCATCAGAGATTTCTTTACCACCAAATCAGTCAGTCACTTTGACTGACTTGAGTAATACTCAGCAAAACTTCAAGGCAACCAGAGTGTTTGATGAAATACTGATTAATTCACTCAAAGCTACTGATGAAATGAAAAACCAAATTTCATCTAACGCAATGGTATGTCTTACGTAAGAATTCCTGCCCCACCTCTGACTCAACCAAAAGGATTAGAAACATAGATTTAACAGCAAAACACAGGGGAGAACTCCAGATCTGCATGTTACCATTCCTATTTTTGAAATCATAACCAAGGAAGTATCTGCAAGTTACACAAGACACTTTTGGCAGAATAATGTTCTTAGAAGCTAGAGGATTATGTTATAAGAAACACTGGTGTTTGAGAGCATCCTGATTAACTTGTTTCTTGATGCATCAAAGAATTGCTTTTAGTTTTAAGTGTTATCAATGTAAAGGCTCTGACTTAAGGGGGGGAAAAGCTATCAGTAGAGCCCCAGTTTGAACAAGATATTGGCAGCCACTGACATTTCAGATAACATATCCTCTAGACATGCATTAGTTAAGATGGTGGTGAAGACACCAGCAGCACCAGTGCTCAGAAAGTTATACCGCTGATCAAACTGCACCAGTGACAGGGTACTTTAAAGGGGGGGGGAGGGAAGAGGCTAATGTAAACATCCCCTTAGTAAGCCATAAGGATATTTAAGCACTGGAACATTATACTATATCATGACAACATGACATACTAGCTTAAATAAATCTGTCACCGACATGTGCAGCATAGAAATGCTTTCAACCATAAAGCTTGGATTACAGTATATAGTTTAACATGCCTTAAGTTTTCCCTCACAGTCATTCGGTAGTGAAGAGCAGATTCACTAAGAGACCCAAGAGAGGAAGAAGAAAAACAAAAAAGCAAAAAAAAAAAAACCCCAAAAATTCCCTCTTCATTCTCTATCCCCACTGATCTTATCAAATACTGTAGATAGTAAACCCCTATACCACACAGCACTTGTCCTATGCCTTGTGAATTAGGCAGACCATATTAGAGTTTTTAGGATCCAATGTATGGATGGGGGGAACAATAAGTATTGTTCAGTGCTGAGATGCTCTTTCCCACTGAATCTGTTGTATTAACTATGAAGTTTGGGATGGCTGACGGGAGAACGTTAGTGACATACACTATGAGTACAGCAGCAAAAGAGAGGGGGTGAGAAGAAGTCTTCAATAGCGAGAGTGCACAACAGCTAAGGAACTTTAAGAAGAGGAATGCAAACAAAAAGTGTTTGATGTTTGCGGGCGCAGGCTGGCAAAGAGGAAAAAGTGAAAACAAAGGAGGAAGGCAGAAGGTCAAAAAAAGATTTCAAGCTGTAATGATATAACACTAAATTATAGAGTGAATACCTGTCAAGGTTCCTCCCCCACTCTGAACTCTAGGGTACAGATGTGGGGACCTGCATGAAAAAAACCCCTAAGCTTATCTTTACCAGCTTAGGTCAAAACTTCCCCAAGGTACAAAATATTACACCCGTTATCCTTGGAATGGCCGCTACCACCACCAAACTAATACTGGTTACTGGGGAAGAGCTGTTTGGACGCGTCTTTCCCCCCAAAATACTTCCCAAAACCTTGCACCCCACTTCCTGGACAAGGTTTGGTAAAAAGCCTCACCAATTTGCCTAGGTGACTACAGACCCAGACCCTTGGATCTTAAGAACAATGAACAATCCTCCCAACACTTGCACCCCCCCCCTTTCCTGGGAAATGTTGGATAAAAAGCCTCACCAATTTGCATAGGTGACCACAGACCCAAACCCTTGGATCTGAGAACAATGAAAAAGCATTCAGTTTTTACAAGAAGACTTTTAATAAAAAATAGAAGTAAATAGAAATAAAGAAATCCCCCCTGTAAAATCAGGATGGTAGATATCTTACAGGGTAATTAGATTCAAAAACATAGAGAACCCCTCTAGGCAAAACCTTAAGTTACAAAAAAGATGCACAGACAGAAATAGTTATTCTATTCAGCACAATGCTTTTCTCAGCCATTTAAAGGAATCATAATCTAACACATACCTAGCTAGATTACTTACTAAAAGTTCTAAGACTCCATTCCTGTTCTGTCTCTGGCAAGAGCAGCACACAGACAGACACAGACCCTCTGTTTTTCTCCCTCCTCCCAGCTTTTGAAAGTATCTTGTCTCCTCATTGGTCATTTTGGTCAGGTGCCAGCGAGGTTACCTTTAGCTTCTTAACCCTTTACAGGTGAGAGGAGCTTCCCCCTGGCCAGGAGGGATTTCAAAGGGGTTTACCCTTCCCTTTATATTTATGACAATACCAAATGTTAGTTTAGTCCTTTTGGAGTTCTTAGTTTTAAAATAAATATATATATATATATATATAAAACCATCAAATACTTGAACAAAAAAGTAGAAAATATTAGATTACCGGAAGGGTATATGCTACGCTTTATAGAAGTTATGCTCCATTTATTTATTGAACGAAAGTTGTATTTTCAGTTTGAGCCCAAATGAAGCCAATGCCAAACCCCTAACTACGTATTGTGAGCCTCATAGCTTGTCACCCAAACATTAGATGAGAAATCCTTACACAACTGGATACTTGCTGTTACTTTGCACCTTTCGATCATGGAAAGGTACAAATAGCCTCAAGTTAAAGAGCCCTTTCATGGGATCTAACCCAAGTGTAGAAATTTCATATGAAGTATGTGAAGAGATATACTAACCCAAAATATTTTGGGGCCAAGAAAAATCAATTATGAAGGATAAATATATTCCAATATACTTTCACTGGTTATCTAATTTATCATCCAAAAGAACAATATAAATAATCTACCATTACTAGTTGAGAAGATTTAGTATTTTGTTATTGAGATTGATTTATAACAGAGGGTAATTTTTTGAATTAAAATGTTCTCTATAATAGCATATTTGAGAGACCAAATATATTTAAGGGAAAACACTGTGGAAGGCTGAAGTTGATTTAAGAAAATGTCTGTGGAGTCCTTTAAGGCCACCAAGAACTTTTGTCATCTGGAGGGGGCGGGGGAGGGGGAATTCCCTCCCCTCCTCCATCAGATTCTCCCAGGGCCACAAGTTCTCCCTGTGTTAAGTCGCTTGAGGGTTCAGGCTTCCCCTTTTCCTGGAGACTGTTTCCACCCATCTTTATTCCCTTCAAGTCTCCCTCTGCATAACTGAGGGATACTGTCCTTAACTTGCCCCCTTTCCTGCATGCTTGCTGTGGAAAGTTACAATCCCATCATTCTGGAACAAGAGGGTAGGACCAGTTCCAGGAACTTCTCCCAACTCATTTTTAAAAACTAACTCCATTTCAACCTGATGTATCCTCTTCACCTTGATCAAAGGAAAAGAATTAGTGGGGGAGGGCGGCCCATTCAATTGAAAATAAAATGAAAAAAATACAGACTGTTAAAATTCAGACAACTTTAATACAACTGTTGACAAACATGACGTTTGCATTCAGAAGTTAAGAAATAACATTAGATACTCCGAGTAATTTGACATTGTCAAGTTAGCCTGAATGAGGTATGTATCTAACCATATGAGGAAAAATAGCATGACTTTTTCAACCTGCACCAGAGACCCAAGAATTCCCTGTTATATAAATTTGAATCCCCCCCCCCCCCAAACTTTGATATGTGGCTTGACCATACCACAGATTAATGTTCCTTCATTTCCACCCTAGCAAAAAGAAAGAATGAGTAAGCTAACCAAGACACAGACTTCACATCCTCTAGCAAAATAACTGACACTTTAGATTGCAAAGAATTATTAAGTTGACTAACAGTAATGGACTTCAGACTGTAGTACCATGATGCAAAGATAAGCTTTGCGGACAGAGATTTGTAGGTTTTAAAACTGGGTCCAAGACTTGGTGTCAATAATAGAACTAGAAATAGACACGGATGGATCTTACTCCCTCCTCCTGTCAGTCTTTTATGACCTTTCCTCTGTGTTATCTTGTGCTTAGGAAAATAACCAATTAAGGACAAAACTGACAGGCAGGAACAGTGAAACTTAAATCCCCTATCCCCAAAACTGTTCATCTTGACTATCTCCTAAAGCAGAACAGTTAGATGGAAACCAGATGGTTTCAGAAGATTGATAAAGGAACAGGCCTTTTACTTGTAGGTCATTGCTTTTAATCTGGCTCAAATTGGCTGTTATTGGAAGTTGTTGCCATTTGATGGTTGTTCAGTGACCTTGGTTTTGTTATCTTAGTACCACATCCAGCAGAGGAGTGTCCATATCACAAAATCCACCATCACAGTTGTCATCTTTGCTAACTGACCTCAGCAGAAAAGGCAAGGATTGAACAGGCAGGGAGACAATTATCCAGTGACACTAGTAGTTGAGTCTATAGAACGGACTGTCCCTCTTGCTTTGTCCAAGTTTGGCACAAGTTTAGATTTTGTAAAGATAGCCTTTTGCAAATCTTAAGTCCACAGAAATATGTTTGTGAACATAACATTGTCCTATAGTGTTTGCAAGCATCAAAGCACCATGCTACTACAGCTTCACTTTCACTTGCTCATGACTCAAACTGAAGTAGCAGATTAGTCCAAGGCAAAATACATGCAAAAAAATACTCCTTGGGGAATTTTGCGCCAAAAAATTAAAAATTCTGCAACAAAAATATAAAATTCTGCACACGCTATTTTAAAATTCTGCATATTTTATTTGTCAAAACAATAGAATCACACCAGTTTCAATTATTTTTTGGTCATTTATTTCAAAATAAATGTCAGCAAGTATGTCTCTAACAATATAGGCAAAAAAGATTCAGGAAACATTTTTTGACAAATAGATTCCTTACTAGGCATACTAATACGGAACTCTGAGTAATAATTCATTTAAGCTACAATACAGAACCATATTCCTCACACCCTTCAGAAGCAGTGCAAAGGCTTGGGGGGAGCCAGTGGTAACGGAAGAGCTGATGAAGAGGGAAGTAAATATCTGAGAAGGAGCCGGGGTGTGAACTTGTTGGGTATGGGTGGGAAAAGTATGGAACAGGTTGGGGGGCAGGGGGTTTGCGGGGCAGGGAGGGATTGTTCAGGAGCTTCCCCCATGCAGACCTGGGCTGACCCCTAGCCTCTCCCACTCAGCCAGGCACGTCTGCCCTGTCCCCATGTGGCCCTGCACCTCTCTCCCCCTGTGGCCCCAATCCCATTCAGCCCGTCCCAGTCTGTCCTCCCCTACTAGCTCATATGAGCCCGTTTGACCCCCACCCCCAGACCCCACTCTGTATGTCTCCCCATAGCCTCTGTCTCCTGACCTGGCCAGCGCTGTGAAGAAGGCAGGCTCTCTCTCTTCTCTACCTGGCTGGGAGCTGCTGTGTTCTGTCACCATAGCGCCCTCTGGTGGGCAAAAGGCGGAACTGCAGAAGTTATTTTCTGCTGTGAGCTACTGCTGTTCTTGTGCCACAGCGCCCTCTGATGGGCAAAAGGCAGAACTTCAGCAACATTTCAGCAGAATTTTTCTGCACAAAAATTAAAAATATGCATGGCTCATTACTTACGCACACATGCAGTAGTGCATAATTCCCCCAGGAGTAGCAAAAGGCGTCTTCACATTTGAGCTGTTTAGCAATGTTCATTGTGTTCTGTTTAAACAGACAGTGCTCCTAAGAATTTAGGTACAAGCTGTTTTTAATCTGAGTATTTCTTTAAAAAACTAAAAATAAAATAAAAAAACAATGGTGGGGCAGAAATAATGCTGTTTCTTCATTATTCACACACATGACAGAGGACTTTGAGAACCTGGCACTTTTTTTGCTATACATTCTCTTAAATGTTAAGAAAAAACAGCTGGGTAAAACTGAATTAATTCCCATCTAAACAGCGTTATGTCGGTTTTACTCTAAGAATAATGTCAACATTACATTAAAAAGATGTGTTACATCTCAGGTAAATTTTAAGACTTGTGAGGAATGCACATTAGAACTGTTCAACCTTAATGAAGAGTAAGAATGAGCTCATTTTACAACTCGGAAGATTTGATTCAATGCATGGATACACTGAAGTTCTTGAAGTTTATACAGACTCAGAGGGAGACAGCTATTTGAGAGAAAACTGGGGCACTAGCGGTAGAATACCAGTCATGCTTCCTTCCCAGATTGGCAGTGACTAAAAATTATTATTCAATAATGGTTTGATGGTCTATGTCAGGGGTGGTCAACCTGAGCCTGGAAAGGAGCAAGAATTTACCAATGTACACTGCCAAAGAGCCACAGTAACATATCAGCAGCCCCCTCCCCCCCCCACCAAAATCAGCTCCCCCAGCACCTACCACTCACCAGCACCCCTCCGCAGCAGCTCCCCATCCCTCCCCGCACCTCTCGATCAGCTGTTTTGTGGCATACAGGAAGCTCGGGGGGTATGGGGGGAGCGAGCGAGGGAACTGCAGGCTCAGAAGAGGGCATGGGAAGGGGTGGAGTGGTGGCAGGGCCTTTGGCAGAGCCAGGAGTTGAGCAGTGAGCACCCCTTGGCACACTGGAAAGTTGGCTCCTGTAGTTCCAGCCCTGGAGTTGGTGCCTATACAAGGAGCCACATATTAACTTCTGAAAAGCTACACGTGGCTCCAGACAGGTTGGCCACCCCTGGTCTATGTGACTTGATTTTGGTAGTTTCTCCCTGGTTCCTTGTTCTGCCACTCATTATGGATTGTTAAACTGTAGGAGAACCAGTAGCAGAGCAAGCCAAATCAGAAACTTCCTTAGTCTTTATACTCCCCAGCATGCTACATTAATAATGAAATTGTGTCTCTATGCACTTATAATTACTCCCATTCCCCACCCCCACTTCTCTCTCTAACACAAGAGAAGAATGAATCCCTTCAGTATAACATGCAATTAAAGAGCTATATGCATAGCTTGACCCCAACAACAAAAACCTGGAGTTCCCACTTATTCCAATGTTATCTACAGGAGATACTGACAATAATTTAGGCCTACAGACAGATCTCACTGATTCACAGACAGTGGATTTGTCAACCAGTTTAAGTGTTGGGTTCCTGTGCTAATAGAGCGATTACTAGATCCTGCCAGCTATGAGGATCTCTAGAATTACATGGCCATTTTGCAGAATCCATGGCTTGAACACCCTCCTTTATTATTAAAACCATTTATGCAGTATAAGAAAATCTGAAGCTTTACAACTGCATGCATTTTACATTTTAGTTTTGTACATTACATAATTACTAATTTAGAAATAGTGTAGGAGTGAAATGTAGCGATAGCTTGTTTTCTTCAACAGACCAAGTATCAAATAATACAACTGAGACGAGCTTAAGAGAATTCTTGCACATTTACAATTATTTACAATTTTCCCCTCTCACCTTCTTAGATCTCCAGCAACGACAGTACACAGCTTTGTCTCCCAGATCTTCCATATCAAATGCATGGACTACCTTGGGGTTATCTTTCTGTATATGGAGATTTACCATTGCCTTGCAGCATTTGTCTTTAGAGAGGAATCTTGTGTATGCTAGATATCCAACAGCAGCTGCTCCTGCAGCTAAAGAGATTGCAGCAACCCATTCAACTAGAGCAAGAGATAAAAAAAAGAAAGATTGGCAAAACCTTAAATGGAATTTTTCATTCAATTTAGCTCCCAAAGTCATATTTGTGCTTAAAGGACAGTTCTACTACTTTGACAGTGTTATGAAAATAAAAACCACTTTCTTCCTATACCCATCCAATTAATTTGTCCCTTTCTATTGAACAGGAGGAACAGGAGAAACCTATGGGGAAAAATAGAACTAATGTGGCTTTCCATTTATTTTTTGCTCAGGCATCTGCATCACTGATGAGGTCAACACAGCTCTACAAACAAAATCAGCCACATTTTGTTCATAACGGATTTAATTAAAGATAGTGAATGCTAGGCACTGGGCACAAGAGGAACTGATTTTACATTATAAATACAAAATTGTGATACTTGTAATTATTTACTTTTTTAAAGGGATCTGATATAAAGCTAAAAGATTAAATCCCTATGTAAACATCACCAGTGTGAACCTGCATTTCTCACAGGCCGTAAGAGAACAAGTTCTACCCGTCTTATCTGTACTAAAGTCTTGAGTGTCTCAAAGATGCTGTTTATATAAACAAATGTTTTTCTCCCCATTTCTCACTTTTCTTTTATCATCTTATGCTCATCTCTGCAACTCTACATCTTTGCACTCTTCTTTGTCTCACTTGATATCATTTTCCTTCTCTGCAATTAATCCACTTTTTTTTAAAAGTCCTGCTTTCAGGTTTTTGCCTTGTGTCTTCCACTTGAAAGTACCTTGAGTTTCTGCCCAACTGTCACAGAATTCTCCTGCCTGGTTGCCGTAACACCCAGCTCTAGAAGTGGCAGGAGTCACTCCCTCCAGACAAAAAGTCAGCAGCAGGACAATTTGAGGGATCAGATGTTCTCCTACTAAGTATGTAAACACTGTCTGACTCTCAACTGCTCATCCATAAATCAGATGGGCATCTGAGGTCTACAAGGTTCTTTCCACATATTTAAAAGACACTCCTGTGGCGATGCTATAACCAGCAAAGCCATCTCAGACTAGGAATTTCAGTCTTGCTTAGCCTGTATTGTTTATGGTTTAGAAGAGATGTCAATCACATGATACAGTAGGAGTCCCTCATTCTAACCCTAGAGAATAAAACATGCTAACACTTAACATATTCCTCCTCTGCCTCTATTAACATATTCCATCCCTACCTCTATTCTGGGACTTTTACTTACCCTCTTCCTAGTGCTCTTGCCAAAGAGCCCAGTTCCTCTTGCACCATTTGCTTTGGACAGCCTGCTCTCTCCCTTTTCCCACTCACTCCTCTAAAGGCTACATGGACCTAGGCCTTTGCTTCTGCAGTATCTGGTCCCTGTTAAAAGGAGCAGCAGCTCAGAAACAACTCTGCACTTCCCCAGCATGGGGAACAGGGGAGGAAGAGAGAGTTTTTACAAGGACAACTTTTCTTCTTAAAAAAGCTCTCCTGCAGGCATAAGTAAATCACCCCTAGTGAGCAACGGTAGCTAAGTTGGCAAGACAGCATCTCCCACCAGCACATACATGGCTGTCCACACTGGTTCTTTTGTCAGTCGGGGGGTGTTGTTGTTTTCTTACACCCCAACCAACAAAAGTTTTACCCAAAAAAGTGCTAGTGTAATCAAATCCATATTTGCCCTCAAGAGCCAAATTGGACGTTCCTGAAGTAGATTAGGACCTCATGTTAACATCATTAAATGTACTTTTTACACAGACACACTGCATCCCACACAATGTTCATAAAGTGTAATTGCTTATGATACTCATTACAACAAAGAATTAAATCAAGAATAGATTCTGCCACTTGTCACTGTTATCTTCATCACAGATGAATTTTTTAGCTACATCCTCTGAACAAGATATGTATCCAAGAAGTTTAACTAATTAAAGCCCCTTAAAGACCAGGCAAATGTAAGTTACCAACACTGAGATTAGACACCTTAGTCACATTTAGCACTATTCCTCTTTCCAAATGAAAAAAGAGTTTAGTCTCAATATACTCCTCCCACCCCCCAAGCTATTCTCCACACCAAAAACAGCATTCTTGGTTGGCAGCATTTAAAACTAATTAAGCTCCCATGAACTTCACCACTTTATGCTTAGAATCATTATACCAGTTCTCATCACCATTACTACCTACTAGTTTGTTTTCATGGGTATTGGGGGGGGGAGGGGAGAAGAATCAAACTGAGTAGACAGATTTATTCATTTTAAGAGTTTGCACCAACCTACTTAACAGATCCTACACTAGACATATGATGGTTGAATAAGAACAAAGCCTACTTGTGAAAGCTACTTTAAGAAACAAGTCAGACTACTGAAAGAAAAGTTTTTAATTTAACTGTATTACACAGAAGAAAGACTCAACCAGGATTACAAAGACCAGAAGAACACAAGAACACTGCATCACATTTAATTTTAAATGCCTGTAGACACCTATGTAATTATTTTAAAACTGTTCTAAATCACAGACTATAAAAAGAAAAGGAGTACTTGTGGCACCTTAGAGACTAACCAATTTATTTGAGCATAAGCTTTCGTGAGCTACAGCTCACTTCATCAGATGCATAGACTAGACTATGCAGTAGTTTTCAAGGATTTCCAAAAGCTTTTCATGTTAATCCCAAATTTTAGACCTATTATGTAACTTACTTATATCTCACAGTGAAGTACCTGCACCTGGCCGCTCATCAACACTACCCAGTCACATGATCCCCTACGGCCAAGGTTGTACAAGAATTGTATTTTACTACAGGTTTACTATTGAGTTATTCACTTTGGGGAAGGGTTCTTTGTATTTTGCAGTACGAGTCAACAACTCACAACAGTAAGCACCGTTTACTGCCTACATTTGTAGCTATAAGAAAGTTCCCTCACCTTTTTGCTGAGTTACTCTTCTAGAATATGATACTAGGTAGGTAGCAACATTGTGAGGTTAATAGCCACTAATAGAAATGCTGCTCTTAAATCCTACAAGCTAGAGAAATGCCTACATTTTTAATTTAAAATTAAATTTAAAAACCAGACAGTCTGCGATTTTCAAGAGAAGATCAATCAGCCACTAGTTTCTTCATTTTCAGCAGAGAAGCCAAGCATCCACTACAAGGCACATGGTCAGAGGGGGAAAAATGCACTCAAAGGATTCTTTGGTAAGAGAACGCCTATCAAAGGGCTGCTCCGAAGCAAAAATGGGTGTGTAAAAGAAGGGGCGTTTGCTATGCTTCCACAGCACCTACGACCATGAATGGCCAATCCTGGGGCTTCTAGATACTATTACAAAACACAACATACCAGACCTCAGTGGATGTAACCATTTTGCTGGATTAATGATTTACGACTAGTGGTTATCATAGAAGGTTAAGGTTGGAAGGGACCTCAGGAGGTCATCTAGTCCAACCCCCTGCTTGAAGCAGGACCAATCCCCAATTTTTGACCCAGATCCCTAAATGACCCCCTCAAGGATTGAACTCACAACCCTGGGTTTAGCAGGCCTACGCTCAAACCACTGAGCTATCCCTTGGATAAACTCTTGCAGGAAGGGGTCAGCCGCATAAGAGAGGCGGTGAAGGTCACTGCATTTCCCAGGGAAGCCCCATCCTCTGCAAAGCAATCGGGACCCTTCTGCAAGTGGGTCCCTTTCCTGGGGATCAGTCAACGCTTCCTCTGCGTCGTGATACTGCACCACCACGACACAGCCACCCAGCTATTGCACACCTATTACAATGACCTGCAAGATAGAGGAATAAGGAATTCTAGCTAGGCCCCCTCCTGCAAAACAGGGGTGGAATCGCAACCTTCCGCGTTCAGATACACCCCTTGCCCGAGCAGGAAGGGCCCCAAGGTGAGAATAAGGGGGGAGGGGGCGCCCCAAGCAGTGCAATTGGAAGTGACTTGTGAAGGCGGCGAGCACACAGGAGACAACCCCCAGCGGAGCGGAGCGCACCATCCCGCTGCTCCGCCGCCCGCCCGCCTACCCCGCACGGAGGAGTTCGATCCGAGCCCCATCGCTCCCGCACCCAGCGCTCCTCGCCGCCGACCTCCCGAACACCCAGAGGGCACAAACGCTGCTCAGACGCAATTGCGCGTGCGTACAGGAACTCACACGATAGCAGCCGCGGGCCTTGGTCTTAAAGGGGCAGTGCTGCTGGGCCGCGGAGGCAGGGGCGCGACTTGCGCGTGTCACCGCCGCTAGGGAGCGGGATCCTGCTGCTTCCCACCTGCGCATGGATACTGAAACGGGCTCCCGGGCCCCGCGCCCGCAAACGTCAGGATTTTAGGCGAGGCCCTGCACCCCTGCCCCTCAAGCCTGGGGGACCTGAGGCCTCGGTGGGCTCTTGTGCAGCCTCCCTACCCAAGTGCTCTGTTAGCATGAGCCAGGGGTCTGGAAAGCATGAGACTAAAGTAACACGTTGGTCCATTGTATGGGGTCCCGTTTTCAGACTTTTCCCCACCGCCTAGAAACTAAAAATTATATCTGAGATACTCACCTGACTCCAGGAGCTGGGGCATGGACCACCTTGATTTTCATACACATTGTGAGGAGAGTGGTCACTTTGGATAAGCTATTACCAGCAGGAGAGTGAGTTTGTGTGTGTGGTTTTTGGAGGGGGGTGAGAAAACCTGGATTTGTGCTGGAAATGGCCCACCTTGGTTATCATACACATTTTAAAGAGAGTGGTCACTTTGGATGGGCTATTACCAGCAGGAGAGTGAGTTTGGGGGAGGGCGGAGGGTGAGAAAACCTGGATTTGTGCTGGAAATGGCCCAACTTGATGATCACTTTAGATAAGCTATTACCAGCAGGAGAGTGGGGTGGGAGGAGGTATTGTTTCATGGTCTCTGTGTATATAATGTCTTCTGCAGTTTCCACAGTATGCATCCGATGAAGTGAGCTGTAGCTCACGAAAGCTCATGCTCAAATAAATTGGTTAGTCTCTAAGGTGCCACAAGTACTCCTTTTCTTTTTGCGAATACAGACTAACACGGCTGTTACTCTGAAACCAAATACCCTGAGACTTGCAATAAAATCCCACGAGTTTTAGCAACACTGCTTGTAAGTAGTGGGACAAGGGCCCTCGCACCCATATTGGTCCCCTGGGAACATTATCTCTACACAATCATGATGTGTCAGCCACAGATCAAGACAGAGACCCTTGCTTTCATGCAGGCCCCCTCCCAAATACTGAGATGGGCTGTAACATCTATGAAGGCTCCTTGCAAACATCATGGGTGGGGAGCACAAATTCATAAGGAGCTCCTGTAAAGAAAAAATGCAGTGGTGGGGCCTTGCAGTTAATGGGTATTATCAATAATAATGATGATAATAATACTTAGCACTGCAGTAAGTGCTGGACAAACTTTAACTAATCATCCCACATCCACCATTGTAAAATGTAGCATTGAATTTTCACTTGCAATTGGATATTTTCTGTAACAATTTTGTATTCATTGTGTTGTGGCAGTAGAATTCCATTTGAAAAGTGGCACCTGTGAAATGATTCCCATATCAAATGCCTTCAGTTTACAAGTTTAAAAAGTTTTTTTCTAATTGCTAGTTCCGTACATTCAGCCTGGGATCTGAGAATCAAGCAGATTCATTCTTTCTCACATCATCATTAGTAATAAGGGAGCTGTAAGCCAAATTAGTCACTTGTGCAATCCAGTGTCTTCAAACTATGCTTCAGTGATGTTTATGTAGCCCCCTTGTTGTCAATGGGTTTGCACAAATGTAACTGATTGGAACTAAGTAAAGAATTCTATTGACAATGCATAAAAAGAAAGAGAATCCATCTTATTCTCTCTTAGCTGTGGTGGCTCTGCAGGGCTAACAGGAGTAAAACATTAAAAACATACTTTTTCAACTAAAGCAATCAGATAATACTGAGCAGGGAGCAGATCTGTTTAGTAAAATGGTGACAGTTGTACAGTCACTTTTCCAGTGTTGCCAACCCTCACAATTTTTTCATGTATCTCACTATATTTAAATCCCCATTCCTAGAGTTGGTACTCTGAAACCTGTCATTATTAACTGAGAATTTCAGCTTTTTTTTAAGTACATTTCTCGATTTCATGGTTGCAGAGAAAACTTGAAAACATTACCCCATTTATAAAATGCCAAGATTTGGCGGGACCTGTCTCATAATTTTTGCATGTTTGCATTTGGCAATACTGCTTTCCAGAGTACAGCCACACTTTAGGGAAACAAACTGCTGTGTTCAAAGCAAACAACTGAAGCAAAAGAGTTTTGCCTTGGAAGAGTGTTCACATTCTACTTAGACTCTGCAGGTTGGAATCTAAAGTTATGATCTAAAAAGTAACAATGTACATTTGTAATGTAATAACTACGCATTACCATGCAAGCTGACTTTCCATGAGCCCTCTCCAAAATGCTGCAAAACACCTCTATTCTGATATATAAACTTATAGAGGAATGAGGCTGGCTGATGTACATATAACACTACCCTACTGTCTGTGCTTTTCCCAGATGTCAAGAACATCAGCAAATATTTGAGTGGTAAAACTTTAATAGTGATTTTAAGGCTATATACCCAAAGTTCTTCAGTCTACAATATTCTAAAAGTTACTATGCAATTGTCTTGTGTGATTAATGTTCATGTATACAAGTTGTAAAACTCTGTGTAAACTCAAGTAACTATCATAAGTCCATTACATTCTGTGGATCAGCCACCACATGGAAGAAATGTGATCAGTCCATCAAATGGTAGTATTTGTGATATAACCTTACTTTTCCCATTACTCAGAGTGATTCTGAGTGATTTTTAGAGAGTAAAATGCATTTGACCTGAACTGTCCTTGAGGTACAAGAGACCATCCAAAGAAGCATCTCCAGTATTATTCTTTCATTCAGCCCTGTCCAAAGAGCAAAAAACTTCCCTCAGAAAAGGATTACTTAGTCAAAACATTCACATTGAGAGAAGATTTTTAAAGCAACAAAGTCATATGCACTGAAGGACATTCTTTTCTTTTGGAATGAGGCACTTCCTCGGGAATCAAGTATTAGAGGGGCAGCCGTGTTAGTCTGTATTCACAAAAACAACGAGGAGTCCTGTGGCACCTTAAAGACTAATAGATTTATTTGGACATAAGCTTTTGTGGATAAAAAACCCACTTCTTCAGATGCATGGAGTGAAAATTACAGATGCAGGTATAAATATACATCTGTAATTTTCACTCTCTCTGTGTGTATATAAAGTCTGCTGCAGTTTCCACGGTAAACATCTGATGAAGTGAGCTGTAGCTCACGAAAGCTCATGCTCAAATAAATTGGTTAGTCTCCAAGGTGCCACAAGTACTCCTTTTCTTTTTGTGAATACAGACTAACACGGCTGTTCCTCTGAAACCCAAATAAATCTGTTAGTCTTTGGGTGCCATGGGACTCCTCGTTGTTTTCCTCAGGAATGGATCCACAACCTTATGGTCATGGATAATACAGACACTTTTGGCCCAAAAGGAGGCCCTCAAGGTCTTAGTTCAGCCCCACTACTGTTCACCGAATAAAGTGAGGTGACATCCATCTGGAAAAGAGGGAAGCTTGAACCCAGAGGAATCTTCTCAGGCACTTAGGGGGGGAAAGTTTCCATCCAATTAACAGAGCCACCTTAGATCAGGTAACCAGCAGTGGAAAAGGTGATTGTTACTCTAAGAAGAACAATTTTGAAGGAGTTTGTATTCTGCTGATTGTCCAAAAGCAAGTCAGCAGGTCTTTTTATAAGAAGAGGCTTTTCTTTTTTTAAAGTGTTTCCTTTGTTTGTTTATTTATTGTTTATTTATTTTTTTGATAAAAGATTATTTGGAACTGGACTTTGCCACACTTAGAATCAAAAGGGGTTTACAAACCCTTTCTGTACAAAAGGGGGAAGGGCAACTTAAACAAATGGCCTGGCAACAACAGACTTAGTAGCAGTTGATGGGTGTATATCAAGAAACACAGTGCACCCTCTCAGCAGTTGCAGCAGTTCTAGCAACTTCTGTTCCAGAGGTTTACTAACCCTGCCTAACCTGCAGTCAAGCTCAACCCCATTTTATCCATTCTGGGCTGCTGTAAGGACAACCCAGGAGCTCACCTTGCTCTATTTGAATGGTGTACTATTGACAAAGGGGCTTATGAGATGTAGGCCCACCAATAACATCTCTTGACAGGGAAAGACAAGCTTCTTGCTGAGGCCTGGATGTTTTGGTGATTCAAGACTATGATTATGTTAAAACAGTCATGCTAGGTTGCCTCTGGAGTGTCTTCTGAAGGGTCTGATGGAACAGTTTTGCCCTGGGACTTGACATGTAGTGCAATTCTATGTTCCTTATTATGGAGGTGTTGATTGCAGTTCCATCGTTAAGGTTGAGTTCTGTTTTGTGTTATATAGAAAATGCAACATATCTTTCCCCAAACTGGTAGCACTTGCTCCATGAATATAGAATAACTCTTCTGAGAATTTACAAGTAAATCTGGTGATTCAAACTAACTAGCAACTAGGTCCTTGAAGAAATATAGATCTCAGGCTATTCTTTTTTCTGAATGATCTTACTAACAAAATAATGCAGACATTTTAAATTTTCCATTCAGGTAAAATTAACTGAAATATTTTGTATTGGCTATATTTGGTGAAATTTGGTTGTAATTAACCAAGGTATTAATAATTGTATCTAATTGCTCTGGTAATATAGGCTGTTGGTATCACAGGTAATTTAAGGGTGGGTCATGATTACATCACAGGTAACTCAACCAATCACCACTTCCTCTACAAATAAACTGCAGCTATTGATTGTAGTCGCTCAGTGGCACAGCAGAATTGCCAATTTCAGGTGCTCAAATGTTACGAGATTGTTTTAAAAACCATGATATTTTAATTAATAAAACTTGGAGTTTTTTCTTTGCCTTCTGTTTTTTAGGAATTCAGAATATTTGGGTCACACTTCAAGATTTCTTCTGCAATTCTGAGGCTTAGGAACTTACTTTTGTAAAGTAAATTGAGATTCTATTGTAATCACTTGTGTCCATGAGCTGGGACATCAGCTCACAAAAGCTTATGCTCACATAAATTTGTTAGTCTCTAAAGTACCATAAGTCCTCCTTTTCTTTTTGCGGATACAGACTAACACAACTGTTACTCTGAAACAAAAAACACAAAATGTCAGGATACTTCATACTAAAATTGCAAGAGTTGGAAACACATCATGAGGGAGACTGGACATTTGTTATTGTTCTTCAAAGAACAATAAATCTGTCATTTATATTAGGGGTGCTGCACGGGGGGGCTGTGGGCCTTGACCAGAGAATACATGATGGAGGGGTGGCCAGGCCAAATCTGAGTGGCTCAGTGACCCTGGGTGTCAGGTTGTAATGCTTCTCACTCACGTTTGGCCTGACTGCCTCTCCATCATGATAGGAGGTGGCCAGCCCAAATTTGAGAGGTGGTGTGAACCTGTGCACCTGCTTGCCCCCCGCCCTCAACACTTCTGCAGGCCTTCCAGCACCCATGGGAACTAGGTAATCCCAGCCCCTGGGGAGAAATGAAGCAGCAGGTTCCAGGAATGCCCAATCCTCAGAAATGTGGGAGGATTGGATCTGGACTTTTGTTACTTCCTGGGGAAGTGAAAACACAGGAGGAGGAGGAGGATGGGGTCTGTGACTACTAGAACTGCCTGGCTCCTGCTAGGGATGGTGCTCTTCAGCCTGACTGCTGCTCTGGGTAAGAGTTTGGGGCTGGGAGATCACAAGGGGAAGAGCTCAGAGTTGGGTTTGGGGCAATGTGGGGAAAGAGCACAGGGCTGGGTGTGGGGCAGCAGGAGGAGATTTAATATAAAGCTCGGTGTGGGGAAGTAGGGGTCTGGGTGCAGGGAGAGAGAGCTTGGGGCTGGATACAGAGCAGGAAAGGGACAGCTATGAACTCCCTCCTTAGGAAAATTCTTGTTGTGCCCCTGGGTTGCGTGCAAGCCTGGGCTCCAGTGCTTTTAAGGCTGCTCTGCTGGAATAGTTGAAGCCGGAGCAGGAGAGTCCTTAAATCACCCAGACATTGGGACTCAGGGATAGGATTCTCCCTGCCTTCTACCTTTATGTAGTGTTGATCTTGCATATGCTTTAACTGCTTTGAGTTGTTCTAGTGATTCAAAGCAGCTGTAGATCCACCTTATTTGGCTGATGTGCTCTGGCTACTTGATGTTTTGGTGTACTGCTGAATCGTCCCTTAAAAGTTAAAATAAATTAAGAATGATACTACATATAATCCAATCATTAGAAATAGTGCATGGTAGCATTTGCTTTGGGGTTTTTGTTTAGTATGAAATGTTTGTTTCTTTTAAAAACTTGTTTTATTTTGTTTGAGAATTTCCTTAGTGTTAAGATTGAGTTAAGTTTGAGAATGCATATCTCATTTAAGGGTAAAAAACACTAGAGATACTTGTCATTATCCCAAAGCCAAGCATTGTAAACTTAGGAAATTGAGAGTTAAGGTTACGCGTAAAAGAAATCCAAATAGGATAAGGTAAGATATGCAGTAGGCATCCAAACAATCTTAACTCTGTCTTGTAGTAATACCACAAGAGGAAAGGAAACACAATAAAAATCTAATGTCTCTAAAAATCAGCATAAACTAATCCTGAACCACAAACATTAAAATGCCTTAATCATATTCCTATAATTATTGGATGACACCACTACAGGGCAGTGTTAAGATCGTTAGTTTTAATCTATTTAGATTTCTTTTAAATGTAACCTTCAATCTGAATTTCCTAGGCTTATAATGCTTGGTTTTGGAATAATTACAAACATATGTGTAATTTTTATTATCTTAAATTACTGATATGTACCAGACTGATGCAACCATAACTCCATCTCAATTCTTTGTTGTTGTTGTTTTTTGTCTTGGAATTCTAAGAAGGTCATTCTAATAAGTGCGTGCCTCTTTTGTGATTCTTTTACTAGAGTCACATGAGATGTCCCAGGGTCGTAGCTCTGAGTTCATTAAGCACTTTTCAGATCCTTGTATACAAGACCAAGAGACTCTGAAATTCAATCAAAAAAAGGTAGACTTCTGCCCCGCTTGCACTAGATCTGATCAATCTCACCCAAGAACAATGTGGAATAAAGCAAGCAGTTGCTGCCTTTGTCTGAGTCTGCAAGCATTACAGAATAACTTGACTGCATACAGCCCAAAACTGTTCCACTGCTGGTTCTTTGTCCTGATGCAGAAGATGCCAATGGAATTCTCTTGGTTTCCAGTACTGTATATGGATATGCTTGTGTGTTCCCTCAGCAGAGTACAGAACTAGATTATGACTATTGCTTCAGGCTCCTCCTGCCAAAGACATAATCTCATGAGGTTCATGTATAAACCAATGTATGTGCAAGGCAAGTGAGACCAGTGAGTGGCTAGATAGGTCTTGGGTTGTCATTGGTGATGGAGAGCAGATATTGCTCTGTCAACTTATTGGATGACCAACCCAATGTAGAGAAACAAATTCCTATTTTTCTGTTGCAACTGATGTGGGTATAGAGCCTTCTAAGGTGGACTCTCACAAGATGTCACAGGCTTAGACCCAATATATGAATATAGGGTCTAATATGAATGGAGCAGGCTTACAAATAAAATTATAATGGAAAAAATAAAATGTGGTCCCAAATAACAGGGGAAATTTCTTGTGAGAAGTGTGCTTGACAAATAATGCCAATAATTATATACTCATTTTCATGAATCTGCATCTATCTAAATCTTATAATCAGACATGCAATTAAAATAACCACAGGTGCCTAAATTTGGAATATTCTATTAAAATAAGTGTATATCTGGAAGAGCAATCTTTCAATGTTTACGTTTTTAACCTTTTCGGAAGATCAAAGATGAGGGTAAACAGTGTCAGGAATTTTGCAAGTCATATGAGACCTGACTTTCTCAAGGAGAGTGCAGATGGTCTAACATTGGTGTAAAAACAGTGTAACTACTTCCCAGGCTGATTTATTCTTTGAACTGTATTAAACTGACTTGTTTACAAAACTAGTTTAAATTTGGGTAGCTTGGCCAAGGTTTAAAGTTGACATTCAAAGGAAAATAACATTGTCTGAGCCCAATTTTATTTCTTTATTATGCAATAAAGACCTGCTAAAATTTAAAGTATTCTTTTTTGTTTGTTGTTTACACTAGAATTTCAGATCTAGCCTACCATGTTTTTTCTGGGAAAATCTATTGACGATCAGAGAATAAGTAGCATTATTACCTCACGCTCACATGAACCAAGAGTGTGGCCAGCTAAGAGATGTTCAACTAGACTATTAAAAACTCTGGTTTTGTTAATATTTAGTTATTTAACTGCAATAACTGTCAAAAGATGGGAGAAAAGATTTCTTTGTGAAATCTTTCTCTGTGTGTTTTCATTAATTTCAAGACCAGAAGAGACCATTCTGATCATCTAGTTGTATTACACAGGTCTAAAGTATTTTTTGGAGCATATCACTTTGAAAAACACCCAATTTTGATTTAAAAATGGTCAGTGATATAGAATCCACCACAATCTGTGGTAAATTGTTCCAATGATTAATTACTAGATGGTTTTCTTAAATTATATATTATAAATAATAATCCTCAAACAGCAAACATCTTAATAATAATGTTTTTGACAGGGTAGAAGTGAACTTGCATTGCTACTTTGATAGGCTGGTTGCATATTGTGGCAGCATTAAAATCAGTGCAGCTTGGTCTTTGCATTGCTATAGCCTTCTTTAGTTATGTCTACACAGGGGACATTTTTGAAATATTCCCACTGGAACATCTGGGAGAGAGAACCATTTGGAATTTTTGAGTAAAGTTCCATAGTGAAGAAGACAAGGCCAAACTGCAACCTGAGTGCCCAAGGGGTTTGGTTGGTGGGGGTGGGACCAGGGTTAAGGTTGTGTGCACTTTCCATCCTTTCCCATCTCTGTGGGAGAAATAACCATGGAGCAGATGTAACTGTAGCTTTGAATTTGCTCCTCGCATTTAATCCTAGGGTAAAGGCCCCTTGGGCTGCAGCTGGCAGCAATTGCCACCTCCGCCCTCTTGCTGCCCGCTGCATGGGCCTGCAGGCTCCGCAGTGGGACGGTAGAGGGCGCTGCGCCGCCCTCCCGCCTCCGGACTACATGCCCCAGAATGCAGCTGGCGCGGGGCTCCGTCTATAAGTAAAAGCGGAAACAAAAGAGCCAGCGAGTGAGAGCGGAGAGGATCCGGTCCCGGTCCCTCACGTCCTGAGCCCGGCCTCCGTCCGGAGCGACCGCACGCGCCCAGCTGGGGAGTAGCCGCCCGCCGCCGCCTCCCAGACCCCCGAGCCGGAGCGCGTCCCAGCCCGCAGTATCGCCCCCCATGGCGCTGAAGCGGATACAGAAAGTAAGTGCGGCCGCGCCGGGCCCTGCAGTTGGGCGCCGGGCCTGGGGCTGAGCCGCGGGGAGCCCGGGCTCCGTGGGAGCGGGCGGAGGGTTCTGTCGCGGGAGAGCGGGGCCACGGGGGGGGTGCGAGGGGAAGGGAGGATCGTATTGTGGGAGCGGGGCTGGTGAGGGGAGAGGGAGGCTCTAGTGTCGGGGAAGCGGTTATGGGGGAGAGGGAGAACTGCAGGGAAAGGGCTACATGGCGGGGGAGCTGGGGAGAGGGAGGATCGTACTAGAAGGGAAGCCGGTGGTAGGGGAGAGGGAGGATTGTATCGGGGAAGGGAGGCTGGATGGGCGCCGAGGAGAACGTCGTGTGTCAAAGGGTAGAATAATGGGTGTTGGATCTTGGCTGTAGTTCTGCTCCTCGGCGTAGTGGGGCTTTCATATCTTTGCTATACCAATGGGGATATCGGTAGTTTATTGCTTCTGGGAGACTGTTCTTTGTTTCTCCTCCCCCATGGAAGTGGAATGTCAGTCTGTAGGTTGGAGGAGGATTACTTGTAGCACAGTATAGTAATGATGCTTCGCAGCTGCATGGCAATCTGGATACAGTTTAACATTAACCTTCACAAGGTCCAGGTGAGGTGGGCAGTTACAGTTATCTTACAGCTGGGGAAACTGAGGCAACAAGCAGTTGAAGGCTTGCCTATACAAAGGAAATATTGTGTGGTGCTGACAGCAGGTGTCAACAATGCAGTTTAGTTGCAAGTGTAAACAAGGGGGAACTGTGTTCAATGCCACTTCAGAAACTGCTTTAATTCTGGTATGGCCAGTGACTGGCCTGAGGTTCCTCAGCAGGTCAGTGGCAGAGCTGAGACTAGAATTTGGGGTTCCTGTCTCTCAGCTCTTACCTTTATTCACCAGAAGATCATGTTGCTTCTAGACAGGATCAGTGTTTTGGTGGAGGGGTCACAGCAGTTCTGATACATCCTTCATTAATCTCAGAGGGACTTTGTATGGGTCTAATTCGTCTTGTTCCCCTCTGTAAGAATTGCTCTCCTAAATCTCTGAATGTGATAGAAATGTAAATAAGAGCCTGCTCAGTAAAGCAGCTTGCTATGTACTTTAGTTGATCGTTTCCTTCCCGGTGTTGCATACTGTGTGCAAAGGCTAGCAGTGTCTCACTTTGAAGAGAGGGGACTCTCTTACTTAGGCCATGTCTAGGTTACAAGTGCTACAGTGGCATGGCTACAGTGCCATAGCTATGTTGCGGTAGCATTGTAGTGTATATGCTTCCTAGAGCAATGGAAGGGGTTTTCCCGTCGCCTTAGGAACACCACCTTTGTGAGTGACAGAACTTATCACACCCTTGAGCACTATAATTGTGTTGACGTAACTTTTAAGCGTAGACCAGACCTCAGGTAGTCCTGCCCCAAAGAGCTTACAATCTTTTTGCTTTTGCTCTATTTGTACAGTGCCTAGCTTAATGGAGTCCTGGTCCATGATTGAGACTCCTAGGCACTTTGATAATACAAAAAATAATAATTACTGATAAGCCACTTAAGTGCCCTGCTGCTGCCACATTAGGTCCAACACAACTGCAGTGGAAATGTAGCTGCTACTAACCACTGTGATGGCTGTCATTCAGGATATCTTGTCGTGATCTGTCTGAGAAGCATGTTTCTATCTGGCAACTTTATCACATGAAATATACAACCTGGACATCTAACAGGAACTCTGCACCAAGGAAAGACCAGTCCAGGTCAAGGCACGGTTGTTATGTCCAAGCAAAGTAAGCATAAATGTAGGGTTTTGTGGTTTAACGAGGGGGAGGGTGTAGCAGAGGGAGAATTCTTTCAGTCATTTATACGTTAGGCCGCAACAATCAAGGAAACAGCATATGTGTAGGATATCCCATTTTTAATTTGTCATTAATGTCAGGAGATTGATCAAACTGACTATTGACACATTTCTTATCTTGAGCGTAAGGCTATACTGTTATGACTAGGGCTCCATGTTTGTCATGGAGGTCATGGATTCTGTGACTTCCTGCGACCTCCGTGACTCCTGCAGTGGCCCATATGGCTGACCCCAGGGTTACCCGAGCAGTTGGCTCCAGGGACAGTCACACCTGCCACTGCTGGAGCGGCTCTACAGCCCGCCACTCAGGGTCCCGCTGCCGGAGTGGCTCCGGTGCCAGCCTCTGCTCTGGCAGCTCCGGGCAGCTGGCCCCGTGGACGGCCCAAGCAACAGCCGATGCAGCTGGCCTTGGGGACTGCCTGAGCAGCGGTCCTAGCAGTGGCCAGAGTGGCCACTGGCCTCCTTGGGACTCCCTTTACAGCGCTGGCCAGAGCTGTGGCTGGTGCCACCCCTCTCCCTCCCTTTTCTCCTCCCTCCCCCCCGGTGGGCCCCCCTGGGGCAGCTGCTCCCAGTGGTGGCAGCACCCCACCTAAAATTCAATCAGGAGTATTCATGGTATAAATCATGGACAGGTCACAGGCTGTGATTTTTTTGTTTCTTGCCCGTGACCTGTTCATGACTTTTACTAAAAATACCCGTGATTACATCATAGCCTTAGTTGTGAACCACTCGGTCAAAGGTAAAGTACCATCATATAAAGTATCAGGCTATTATGCTGATGCAGAAATGTTATACTTACAACTTAACGTTTTGAGAACATAGCTAACTAATCCTGGTTTTCTTTCCAATAATGTTCTATCCGATCCACAATTAGAAACATTGTCAGCCTATTTGGCCCTTGAACATATCACAAATGAGTTTGTAAATGGCATCTGTAAATGTCAAGGATTTAAATGAGAAAACTTCTTCTAAAAAAAGCCACCCACCTCTCTTTCCCAAATATTACTTGCCCTATCAGAATCAGTCTTTCATTGCAACAAAAGAGATGTTTGTTATGAAAGGTAAGAAACATGGGTGCTCGGAATATTTATACGTATAGCTTATCTAAGGTTATAAAACTGATATGTACTTCATCTTGCTATTGTTGATGCTGTGAAATTAGTGTGTTGTTTTCATCTAACCCACTATTTTGCTCTGTTCACATGAATAATTGCTTGATTTCTGCATTACTTTACGGTTGATGGTGGAAATGGAGGTTGGTGGTTCTGTAGTATCCAATTAACATGCTGTTAGTGAAGATATGACTTCAAATGTACCAACTGCTGAACGTAAAATCAAGAGATTAAAGCACAGGTTGGGAATTGGGAGATCTAAGTCTGTTCTGCCACAGACTGTGTTTGTGTTGTTGAGCAAGTTATTTAACCCTCTCTGCATCATTTTCCTCTCTGTAAAATGAAAACAATTCCTGCCTACCTCACATGGGTTTTAAGGTTCACTAAAATGTTAGCATAGTGCTTTGAGGTCCTTGGATGAAAGGTGCTTTATAAATGCAAAGTATGAGTGTATTTAAAGTTGTTTTGGTGTTGCTCTAGTACTCTTTTAACCAGTTGCTGTCCTCGTTACAAATTGGGACTGCTTTAATGACAATAGCCAGCATGCAAGTGGGAATGTCGGAATTGCTATCTTGGATCAGGTCCATTTAGTTCAGCATCCTGTCTCCAACAGTGGCCAGTATCAGATGCATCAGAAGAAGATGTAGGAACTCAACAGTGGGTAGATCTGGGATATTTTGCCCCCCATGTTAGGTCTCATCCTGATCTCTAATATATGGAGACTGACTCAAACCCTGAAGGATGAGGCTTAATATCCCTCCCCAAATCATCATCAGTCATGATAATTCTGGTTGATCATCTTATCCATATAAATTTACAATCCCTTTTTGAATCTTGCTAAATTTTTGGCCTGAATTTCTGTGGCAATGTTACAGTCAAATTACGTGTTATGTGAAAAAAGTATTTCCTTTTATCCATTTCGAATTTGCCATGTTTTGCTTTCTGTGAACGACCCCTTGTTCTTGTGTTATGAGCCAAGGAGAACAGACACTGAGTTTTTCAAAGTTTGGATCATGACCCAGTACTGAGTTGCAGAATGCAAGGCGCTGGGTCGCCTTGCTCAGCACCCAGGGACCCTAGTGGCCGGCCAGTAAAAACTAGTAGTCCCTACCTGTTCTGACACCACGGTGGACCCCGGAAGCGGCCAGCAGCAGGTCTGACTCGTAAGGGGGGGGGAGGGGCCACGAGGCTCTGCACCAGCTGTGGGGGTGGTGCCTGTGGGCAAGAGCCGTGCAGAGCTGCTTGCACACCTCTGCCTTGGAGCCGGACTTGCTGGCTGCTTCCGGGGCACAGCATGGTGTCAGAACAGGTAGGGACCAGGAGACACTAGAGATAAGCCTGTACCCCAATCCCCTGTCCCAACCCTACCCCCCCCGCAACCTGGAGCATCTTCCTGCACCCCAACCCCCTCATCCCTGACCCCCCCACCCCAGAGCCCTGAGCCCCCTCCTGCACCCTGAACCCCTCATTCCTGGCCTCCACCCCTGCACCCCAACCCTCTGCCTCAGCCCCCTCCCAAACCCCTCATCCCCAGCTCTGTTGAATTTTGGGCATCAACAATTTTCTTCAACTGCGTTGCCAGAAAAAAAGTTTGAAAACCACTGATCTACATCATTCTTTATCTTATATACTTTTATTATGTCTCCTTTCTAAGATAAACAGTCACAATCTTCTCTAATTTTTTTTTTTATACGTGAGTTTTGCCAAGCCTTTTCTGGACCCCTTCTCATTTCTACACTTTTGTTTGTGATGGGTTGATCAGTACCGTATGCAGTAATCCAAATGCGGACTGCAACATTGAATTTTACATAAAGGAATTATATTTTCTGCATTAATTTGCATCCCATTCCTTTCCTTATGTATCCATCTTTTTTGAATCTTCCTTGTGTTGGAGTGAATACCACAACTTGTATGGTCAGAATATTTTAAGGAATAGCATCTGTTAGGTGCTTGAATGACTTGTGAATAAATTTGTACACTAAGAGCTTGTGCTGTGTACCTTATTAGTATTTCAAAATGGGGGAGATGAGAATCAGTTGGTTTATCTGTA